GTATATAAATATCGTTTATTATTATTAAAATAAATCGAAGATCTCCGGAGTTTAATATAGTAACCTTCGCTCCGGAGGTCTACGCCCGAAGATCTTCGGAGATCTTTGCTAAAAAAATTTCCTAATGTATTTAAGACTGGATTGACAGACTCTGAAATTTGATTGGACTTTCACTACTTTATTTAATATTAATACAATTCAAATTAGTAATCTAATTGTAAAAAAGAGTTAGGTTATAAAGTCAAAATAGAAACTATTAAAAAGATTTTTTAATTATTGGATAGGATTTTTCTTATTTTAAATTTACAAGTAAGGAGATATATTATAAATCAGGGTATAGAAACATCCATATAATATAAGTTAGTATTCTGATAAAATTGCAATAGGCTAGAATTAATTTACAATATATATAAAAAATTCTTAATATAATAGCTATAAATTTTTATTTAATAAAAGTTTTATATTTAATACTTATTTGCAATTAAAAAATAAAAATAAAAATTAATAATCTGATAATTTTTTATTTATATTAAAAAAAACTCTTTCTCGTATACAATTTTTTTTTAAAAAATTTCTTTTTATAGTAATTTTTTTTCAAAATTAAAGAAACAAATATTTTTTTTATCTTTCAATACCTAAAAGTCCTTTATACTTTCTCTTTTTTCATTACAAGAGTCTTAAAGAAATTAAAGAAGTATACTGATGCATCGGGATGAGACCTTTGATCAGAGAAAAGCAAGTTTGGAAACCTTGTTTTTTCTTTGAATTGCATAAGAAAAGGCTTGTAACAGTTACTTTTTTATAAATCTTCTTTGGGGTTCTTCCCATTTTCTTTTCTTTTCAATACATAAATCTTTTTAAATAATTATACTTTTTGTTTAGAAGACTTCCTTTTATTTCAAAAAACCAGACTTCACATCAAAATTGTTTATATTATTGACTTGGAGCACTAGCAATATATTCAATGTTTATTTCTCACTATCACCCAACATATTTTATTGTGTCACCAAAAATCAGAAAATCTCACTCAAAAAATTTCTTACCAAAAAAACTACAATCAGTTTACTTCTGTCAATTAATCAACATTTCAAACTTAATCAATCAAATACTATCAATTTTCCAAACAAATCTATACAATCAAAACACTATACTTTGATTAACGTAAACAAAACCTTTTATGGCGACAACAACTAAAACAAAATCCTATTATCAACAAACAAACCAATTACAAATCACATCACTACAACAACAATACTATTACCATGATTAATCATTTATCAAAAAGATATATTATCAATACTATTATATATTTTGGACAGTAGCTTGATTATTTTTGGAAGTGCAACAGTATTTCAGTTAAGTGGAACTACCAGCATGGCATGCCTAGTGACATCTATAGTTTTATAATTAGTGTTTTTGCATTTATTTTTTTTGTTTTTGTTTAGTATTTTCTTTTTTTTTTCAATTTTCAATTTCTTATAGTTTTACATATAAACTTGAATAGGTATTTATAGTTACTTGGCACTATTTAGGATATACATTGGTTTTAATATTTATTTTTCATGTCATTTAAATAGTTTCTATAGGCAAACTAGCATTAGACTTATTAGCTTAGCAAGTTATATAAGAGATGTTGTCGCTTTTTTCATATATAAATTTTAAATAATTTTATAATTAATAAAGTGATGATGTTTATCTACTTTAAAAAATAATAATAATAATAATTAATAAATAAATAAATAATAAAAAAATTTTAAAATAAATAAAACAATAAAATTAAAATTAAATAAATAGTAGTAATTATAATTATAAAAAGTAAAATAAATAAAAATTTAAATAAATAAACCAATTTTTTACATTTTGTATTAAACTTTTTTTAATAAAAAGAAACATACATTAACCTAATAATTATAAAATTGCTTGTATTAATAATTCATTATAATAAACAAAGACTAATAATTGTCATAGTTCCTAAAAAAAATTTTTTTTAGTAATTATTTATTAATAAAATTTTTATTAATTTAATAATATTATCGAACAAAAAGAAACTTATTATTATGTGCTTATTGGTTAATAATTCGATTAGTAACTAATCTATTTTATAGTTTAATTAAATAACTGCTCTTTGTTCTTTTAGTTAATGATTAGCAAAAAAAATTTTTTTTATATTACGTTTAGTGATTTGTGCCACCATTAATCCTTACTGTTATGGGAAAACGTTATTACACGATCGACCAGCGTAATTAGAGGTTTGCATTGGGATAAAGACTTTTTTATAACATTATCAAGCTACAAACCAGAAACCGGAAACCGTGGCGGATGAGGCTCTATTTTCGTGTCATGCCAAGTGCCATAAAAGTATTCGATGTCTAGGTCACTTGTTTTTATACATGCATTTTATAATATGCACATAAAAGAATACCATTCTTTAGGTCCTTTGTGAAAAAAACTTTTAGAGTTTATTTATGTTTATGATTTACTGTTACACAATCCATTCATTGGTTGATCTTGTTTAAATGCTATATTATGACGCGTCTTATCATTAGCTATCAACATATCGATAGCCTCCAAACTTTTTTGGTAAGCGCAGTGAAGCACACTTATGCTTGGTTTCAGGGTTTTGTACTTCGTACACTTTGTCTTCCCATTTCTTAATTTCTGTTCTTTTTTCTTTCAGTTAATGGTGGAGGGTTTTTTTTTGACTTCTCTACTTTCTAATCTCTAATATAATCTCTTCTATTTAGTAATAATAATATTTGTCCATATTCAGTGTACTCCCTCTAATTCTTAAATCCCTTTACCAAAGCACTTAACACTTCTGTTAAATCTGTATTAGTTTTGAGAGGTTTTTAATCTTAAAGGCATATAATTCTATTTTGTTACACGAACTTTATAGCTTAATCTTCTAAATCACGACCCGTTCGGTAGTTTTTAGGATTTTTCTCAATCTCTTAAAAACTATCTAACCTTCATATTTTACCCATCACATTTTTGCCGGGCAAAAATTTGATGTGACTACTTACATAATATATTATTAAAAGTACATGACATTTTGTAAAAATGGCCACACAACAATCGGAATTAAGTAAGGATTCTTTCGTTTCCGTTGTTACCGGAAATAACAACGGCGGCTCTCCTCAGCACGAGACAAGATATTATTCTTCTAAAAGGTTTGTTTTCAATGAAGTCTTGTATACGGAAGTAGTGTTTATATTGTCGCAAGTTTGTTTTATGCATTTGTTACTAACATACTTTCTCACGATTATTAATCCATCTTTTTCTAAAAACAAAAAAAAATCCTGATTAATTTAAATAGGGCTAGGGAAATACAGTTGGAGGAAGGAATTACCACTGCATACCGTTCGGGTGCTCTCCCTCCGCCATCGTATTCCACAAACGGAGCGTTTAATAATGGTACCCTTCTTTCGGACTCCGCTGCTACTGCCTCACTTGAATATTTGAATCTAAAATCTGTTGGAACAAAGACGCCACCTGCTTCTAACGGCGACCATCTTTCTTCATATCCTTCATCCTTCCGTCGTAGTCGCGCAGATACATTACCATCTTCATTGACACGACCAAGTAGCCTTAATCAATCCACTTCTTCCTTGTCTATGACTTCACCTATCGGGTCTTCTACTTCTCAAAGTCTTCTCAGTACACCCAAGTCTAATTCCCGCCTCCGCTCTGGATCTCTTACATTACCATCATCATCCCTTTCCGCTGCCTTTGGACCATCTATTTTTACCACCGGATGGACCGATCATCGTAATGAAACACCACCCACTCCCCCTATGCAAACCCCAACAACGGGGGATTTGCTTCGTGGTGACGAAAATAATACAGTTGGTAAAACATTAGATTATTTAGGCTTAGATGATCATGAACACGGAAGTGTTTCAAAGCTCTCCTCGAATTCTACAAGTCTTCCTCAAATTAAGGTGGAAATGAAGACTCCAACTACTCCCACCTACCATTCATCCAGTGGTTCAATATCTGCGTTACCTTCTCTTCGTAGAGATGCCAATCGAATTCGTTCATACTCTGTATCCGCAACTGCGAAATATGATGATCCACCACCAACTACTTCGGTTACCACAAATAATCTTTTTCCCCCTGGTGCACCTGCTGTTCAACAATTCCATCAAACGCATTCCAGGCCTCGAGCTATAAGTTTAGGCATATTGGATTTGCCCAACGATATTTTGATGATGCGACAAGGGAGAAATGGTCAGATGTATAGTGATTTAGCGGAACCTACACCAGCGTCTACCAATCCCCCTCGATCTCTTGGAGGTGAACAGTTATTGGGAATGATGCTAGTGGATGCGATGGAAGGAAAGAAGAAACATATGGATGATGACTATTTATTAGTAGACCACGAAGATCAGGTATAGTATTTACTTCATGTGATCTGTTATGACTGTTTGTGATGAAAGATCTTTTCTGAATAATTTTAAATACAGCACACGCGTTCTGGTATATCAAGCCCTCGTGATCATACCCCAGACCATTCGCAACAAAGTACTCCTCCTCCACAGACTCCAACTCGATCATTATGGATTGGTAATATTGATACAAACCTTAGTAATCAAGATCTGATGCAGCTTTTTTCACCCTACGGGTCAATCGAAAGTTTGAGGCTCCTTCCTGACAAAGAGTGTGGGTTCGTCAACTTTGTTCGGGTTGAAGACGCTGTCAAGGCGAAGGATGACATAATGAATAGAATGGGTGGTCGTGTTGGAAATTGTATTGTCCGTGTTGGTTACGGCAAGGCGGATGCTCTTAACAGCCATGATCTCTCTCCATCTTTACAGACTCAACTACAACCAACACGGGCTCTTTGGGTCGGTAATATTCCTACATCAACCACACCCCAAGCATTACAAACCATTTTTGCTCCTTATGGTCCCATCGAATCTGCTAGGATTTTGCCTCATAAAAATTGCGGGTTTATTAATTTCGAGAGACTTGATGATGCTGTGAAAGCCAAAAAAGCCTTGCACGGTAAAGAAGTTCTTGGAAGTCCTGTGAGAATTGGATTTGCAAAGGTGCAACCTAAACCTTCACCTACATCAACTCCTGAGCCTGGATCTCCTTCTAACCGCCATATCCGCAACCTTTCAGCGTCATCATCTTCTTCTAATAATCAGAATGCTGGTCAATGGAACGGACAGGTAGAAAACTATCATAATAACATGGTGAGAATGATGATGGCGGGTGCGGCAAATGCAGTAAATTCAGCTAATTCAACTAATGGTCTGAGCGAAAGGCAGCTAATTATGCGTGAGTTAAGTGGTGAAGATGATACTGATGTGGATGATATATATGGTTAGTGTGATGTTTTAGTTATTTGTGATCACGACTTAGAATTTTTTGTAAAATATAGTTACATAGTGTTAAATGACATATTATCAATTTATAATATGCTGATTATTTCTTCATATATTAGAAAACAAGACTCCGACGACATATTACACTTCTATTCCTCCTGTTGGAGACCCAAATCCAAATCGTAAACCAGATGCTTCGAGATTACGAGAAATTCGCAAACGCCTTGATAGTGGTCATTGTCTTCCAAAAGAAGTAGAATCCATTGCTATTGAAATTATGGATGAATGTGTAGAGTTATCAAGCGGTAAAATTTTCATTTATTTCTAATTAAATGTTCGAATGTATTATAATGGCAGAATTTTTTGTTTGTCTTAGACTATATTGGAAACACCGTGATCCAGAAGTTATTTGAACGATGCAACGAAAATACAAAGCAGAAGATGTTGGAAAAAATTGCTCCCCATCTAGCGACCATAGGCATTCATAAGAACGGAACTTGGGCAGTTCAAAAGATCATTGATTGCGCAAAAACTCCCGCTCAAGTATGTTTAACTATCTAGATAATTATTTTTTTGAATGCGCGATTTAGTTTAAAAGCTAATCTATTGTTATTGTCGTTAGATGCAACTAATCACATCCAGCGTTAAGCCATATACACCACCGCTTCTTCTCGATCAATTTGGAAACTACGTTGTTCAATGTTGCTTGCGCCTTGGACCTCAAAGAAATCAATTCATCTTTGATGCAATGGTTGATAGATGTTGGGAAATTGCGCAGGGTCGATTCGGAGCACGTGCTATGAGGGCTTGTCTGGAAAGCCAGCATGTAACAAAGACACAACAGGTAATTAAGTCACGTGTAACAATAAACTTGTTTAATTTATTGTATTTTTTGATTAATTTGGTATCTTTATTCAGAAACAAGTTGCCATTGCTGTTGTCATGAATGCTTTTCCACTATCCACCAACCCAAATGGTGCTTTGCTATTGACATGGTTACTTGATACCTCTTCGTTCCCGGGTCGTTATCGAGTTCTTGCACCACGACTTGCACCACACTTGGCACATTTGTGTACCCATAAACTTGCTTCTTTGACCGTCCTCAAAATTATCAATCAAAGACAAGAACCTGACGCTCGCGACTTGACGATAGATTCGTTGTTCTTTTCTTCTAATGATCAAGTATTGGAAGATGTATTGAGTGATCAGGTTCATGGAGTGGGAGTCGTACAAAAAGTCTTGGCTAGTCCATATGTTGATCAAAGTGAAAAGCAGAGATTAGCAGAAAAAGTTAAAGTCGTTTTAGGCAAATTAAAAGTTCAACAAGTTCAAGGTTACAAACGTTTGATGGAGGAATTAGGAATGGTTGGTGATCCATCTGTTGGAGGTACATCATTAAATTCTGGCCCTTCGCCGGTTGGAATTTCCCCACAAGGAATGTTTACTACTCCCCTACCACCGGATTTTGCTGCCGCCGCTGCGTACTATGCTGCTGCATTTGCAAGTCAACAAATTCAACAAGCCGCAGTAAGTACACCAACATCAGAGAATAATAATGAACAGGTAGGATCTCAAGCAACAGGGCAACCATCTTCTAATGAAGGTTCGTCTTCAAATTCGGGTGCGTCGGTTTCCACATCGACTTCGTCGACAACATATCCACAACCGGCTCCGATATTTATGAATAATATACCTATGTCACCTCATCCACACTCACCGTTTCAACCTACCTCGCCGTATACGCACATGAGTCCATTTCCACCATTCATTCATCCATCCGCTTTGGCGGCAGTCGCGGCAGGCATGTATGGTCATCCGGCTATGTTCAATCCAGCGGCTTATCCATACATGCTCCCGATGATAAGTTCGGCACCTCCTACGCCAGTTGGCAATACGATGTCAACAAACTATTTACAACAACAACAACTGGTACAGCAGCAAAGCTCACAAGATCAACAATCACAATCTGCTGGTAGTGATGCGCAGGCGCACACATCGCCGCGAGTAACTATTTCCGAAGCGAATTCTCCCTCATCGATCGGTCAAGTCGAAGTGCAGGGTCATGCTCAGTAATGAAGTTTTATACTTCAAATCAACATTTTTATTATTATATATTGATAGAAGTCGTGAATGTTTACTTGGGATCTGGGATTATCTTTTACTCTGAGGATATGAGGGCAATTTCATGATGTTTGTCTCAAAGCCTTATTTCTTTGATTTACAGTAAGGACGAAAAAAGAGCCTTTTCTAGTACACTTAGTATGCTATATATAGTTATTTTAGCCAAAAGTATATAATTTTTTCGTTCCTATATAATGTAATTTGACTTTGTTAATCATTTTTGGGCGGGTATTTAGATGTAGTTAGTATGTATTCTTTTTTTTAAATATACAGCTAGTTTCCTGGTTTATCATTAGATTGTGCTGACTTTGGTTTTAATTTATATATTATCAACCTTGTAATTGCACTATGATAATACAAATAATTCAAGGCATGTGGACACGCCTATTTATAATCTGATGTACATTTGAATAAAGTTTTAATACGTACAGCATTATTTTCACTAAACGACTTGAAGAAAGTTGACTTCTAACGGAAATGACATTACCGCCTAACCTCCAGTACCTCAAGATTACATGCGTAGTTATTTAGATTAGGCATAGTATGTGCAACTACAATTAGCTACAATTGAGATGTTCTCTAGACAAGGGTTGTTAAATAGAACACGTGTTATTTATAAAAAATATTGTACGAGGGTTTTCTGGTTAATTATTAATATAATGAAATTAAGAATATATTACTAATAAAGAAAAAATACAATTAAAACTTATATTTTTTTATTCTAAAATGTTACTTTTATATGTTAATTAACTAATTTTCCAATATGTTATATTAATTAAATTTAATCAGGTTATATGAAAATAAAACTTTTGATATTTTGTTAATCAAAATTTGATAAATTTTATTATAAAAAAAAAATTTCCAAAAAGATTTTTTGACTTAAATTTAATAAATACTTTTATTAAATTAAGCAAATTTAAATAATAAATTTTAAAAAAACTTTATTTCAAAATTTGATATTTAAATAATTTATTTCAAATAAAATATTTGAATTTCAAGCTAAATATATATTTTTGAATAATATTATAGTTAAAATAATAAAAAAAGATAATAATATTTTATATTAACAATATTTTAAAGAATTAATAAAGTTTAAATAAAAATTTTTTTAAATAATTATTATTACAAGTAATAAAACAATTAATATTATAATATATTAAAAATATTTTACATGAAATCCTTTCACCACTCAACTGGGCAGGACTTCCAGAAGAAGGCACACAAGAACCAATTAGCATTCTCAACAATGTCTTGGAAGAGGTGAGAGAGCTGGACAAGAAATGCTGGATACTAAGCCAGGATATCAGCAAAGCATACGACTCAATAAACCCAAAGCTGCTAAGCAAGGCCCTACAG